GACCCACAGATAAAGCTGGAAAACATAAGCTACAGATAAAGCTGGAAAATGTAAGCAACAATTAAAGCTGGAAAATATAAGATACAGATAAAGCTGGAAAATATAAGATACAGATAAAGCTGGAAAATAGTCTACAGTAAGGTAGCTGGCATTCACCTCCAGCCATAAATAAGTACATTCATGTAAAAAAAAAAAAAATAATAATAATTTAAAAAAATTAACAATAATAATAATAATAATAATTGCCCCTGCTTGCTGCTTTTAATTAAAGTCTCCAAAGGGAAGGAACTGGATTATGATAATGAGCAGACATACGTTCCCTCTTGTAGACTAGAGCTAAAGGTTAGATGAAATGAAATCAGTGACATTGACAGTCCACTTGAAATCCATTCTCCATGCTCTTCTGTCACACTACGCTAGACTCTTGATAGCATCCTAATGACTAGAAGACATGCCTGGGAGGACTAGGGGAGCGTTCACCTAAGCTCCTTTCCTTATGGTCAGCCTGCCAACACCTGGGGGTGGACAGCAGAATCAATAGCTGGATCCCCTCTGCCATTTGATTGGTATCTCCATAATTACTGGGTGCCTGTTCGTTCATCAATGCGTTGTAGGTAAAGAGAGCAGGCGATTCGAAAAAAAAAAAAGAAAATAAAAATAAAAAAAAAAAAAAAAAAAAAAATATATATATATATACATATACACACATACAGGTGATGTATAGATGAATATACAGTATGTCATAGTGTGAACTGAAGCATTTAGGTCCCCTCTGTTTTTTTTCCAGTTTAGGTTATGTCAGTCATGGATGACACTGGCGTTCAAAAAGCAATTTGGGATGGTGATGCCAAAGCTGTTCAGCAATGTCTGACGGATATATTTACAAGTGTCTACACCACGTGTGACATCCCAGAAAATGCCATCTTTGGTCCCTGCGTGCTGAGCCACACTTCTCTCTATGACAGTATAGCCTTCATCGCCCTCAAATCTACTGATAAGAGGACAGTACCCTACATATTCCGGGTAAGAACCACTATGGCACCATGACAACCCTCTCTTTTAATGGTGGTGGCTATCATTCCAAAACCATTCCACAACTTCTGCACCTGCCAAAAGTTACATGTCATTGTGCATACGTCTTGCATTTCCATAAAAAAATGTAGAAACTTAGAAAAAGATAGAAACTTGATAGGAAGAATTATAGGTAGGTGAGGACAGAAATGCAAACCGACAGATAAAAATGTATAGATATAGACAGACAGCTAAAAGGGGGATGGGTAGTGAGAAAGAGATAGATAGATAGATAGATAGATAGATAGATAGATAGAAAATAGAAGAATGAGACAGAGTGCTAAAAGAGAGAGAGGGAGAGAGAGAATTATAGAACTAGCTAAGATGGAAAAAGTGATAGAGATAATAGATAGATAGATAGATAGATAGATAGATAGATAGATAGATAGATATAGACAATAATGGGGTGGCGATAGATAGATAGATAGATAGATAGATAGATAGATAGATAGATAGATAGATAGATAGGTAGATCTGAAAGAGAGAGAGAGAGAGAGTAAAGAAACAGAAAGATAAAATATAGAGATGGGGAGAGAGAGAGAGAGAGAGAGAGAGAGAGAGAGAGAGAGAGAGAGAGAGAGAGAGAGAGAGAGAGAGAGAGAGAGAGAGAGAGAGAGAGTAAAGAAACAGAAAGATAACATATAGAGATGGAGAGAGTGATAGAGATAGATGATAGATAGATAGATAGATAGAGATAGATAGATAGATAGATAGATAGATAGGGGGGGGGGGGGCAGTACATAGATCTGAAATATAGAGATGGAGAGAGGGGGAGAGAGAGAGAGAGAGAGAGAGAGAGAGAGAGAGAGAGAGAGGGGGGGGGATAAAGAAACAGAAAGATAAAATATAGAGATGGAGAGAGTGATAGAGATAGATGATAGATAGATAGATAGATAGATAGATAGATAGATAGATAGATAGATAGATAGATAGATAGATAGAGAGATAGATAGATAGATTAATGAGAGCCGGAGCTACAAGATAAAGATGGAGAAAGTGATAGAGATAGATAGATAGATAGATAGATAGATAGATAGATAGATAGATAGATAAAGATAGAATAATGAGACAAAGAGCTAAAATACAGAGATGGAGAGAGAAAGAAAGAAGAAAGAAAAAAGAAAGAAAGAAAGAAAGAAAGAAAGAAAGAAAGAAAGAAAGAAAAAGAAAGAAAGAAAAAAGCTAAAATGTAGTGATGAGGAAAGTAATAGAGATAGATAGATAGATAGATAGAGAGATAGATAGATAGATAGATAGATAGATAGATAGAGAGAGAGAGAGAGAGAGATAGATAGATAGATAGAGAGAGAGAGAGAGATCACAGTATGGCAGTGGCTACTTTGCTGTGAACAAATAGAATGTTTTAATTGGTAATAACAGCCAATGCTAATTAAAGTCTTACATCAGTTGCATTTTAAGTTATTTTAAAAAACAAGTGTAATGTATTATAAAAAAAAAAGAAAAAAAAAATCTTTGATGTTTGAAAGGCAGCTGACGTATTATTTAAAGCACAGATTTACCAAATTTATCTCCAGACGTAGAAATAAACAGCTCCCTGCTACTTTTGAGAACAATCTGGAAGATTGGTTCATGTGAGAGCACATTTCAAATTTTCGAACATATGGAGGGCTGTCATGTCAGGTCTGTGTGATTCAGCTGGGCAGACGATTTCCATTCATTCTGATGGTCTCCATCCATAATAGAGCTCTGCTGTGCATTGGGATCCCCTAAGACTAGTGCTGAGCTCATGAGGGACGTTTTAACCCTCTTCTACTTCATTATCCTGCCTTTTTCTGCAGGTGGACACTTCAGCTGCAAACGGCTCCTCTGAGGGACTGATGTGGCTCCGTCTGGTTCAGTCTGCTAGAAACAAAGAAGAACAAAATCTGGAAGCCTACATCAAAAACGGACAACTGTTCTACAGATCCCTGCGCAGGATTGCCAAAGATGAGGAGCTGTTAGTTTGGTACGGGAAGGAACTGATAGATCTGCTTCTTCTCAACCCTGGCAGGAGCCAAGCAAAAACTGCGGGTAGGTAAATAACTCTATAATGTGACTGGCAAGACATTAATACGCCTTAATCACCCTTTAATTCCACCCCCCCCTCCGTCTGTACTGCCATCTTCTGCTGTCTGTCACTTTCCCTTCCTACCTGTGTATATTCTTCCTTCATCCAAATAGCTGTCCTTCCCATTCTTCTGTTCCTCTTCTATTTCTATTCATGTCTTAATGACCTAATCTCTCCCAATCCTCTTCTATTATCTTATTTTAGAGATATGTGTAGATAGAAGTCACAGATGGCCAAGCAAATCTAAAAGTATAAATAAAATAGAAGCATATAACAATACATTGTAAAGTAATAATAATAGTAAAATGGTATGATGGCTGTGCTATTGTGTAAACTTTTTTCCATGAACAAAATGTAACAAGCCTGATCACACCACTCAGCTGTCATCACATATATGTCCTCCCCTAGACAACTGTCAAAAGTATGAATAGATAGCAAGTTCTTGATGATATGGTATCCCCAAGTGTGTTACTCCAGTTAATAAGCTGTAGGAATAATTTGGTAAAATTTCATGCCACCTTCATTGTCAATTCTGTTTCTTTCAGGATCATCTCAATTCATCTGTTTGGAGTGTAACCAGAGATTCCAGTATGACTTCCCCTATGCAGCTCATGTGAGATTTCGTTGTCCTAAAAGACTCCACACTTTAGATTCCAACTCAGAGCAACTAGGCAAGGACCCACGGGATCTAGAGCCTCGAAACGCCATGATCTCTACACCCAAATACAACAAACTGTCAATTTACCAGCCTCAAAAAGAGAACCACAAGCCCACCACAGACTTTCATAACTTGGCCAGGGACATGGAGAATATTAGAGGCCCTTGCTCATCATCCTTCAGGTCTACTCCTTCACCCAAGTCTAATCTATCAAGACAGGACTCTGAAAGCACCACCGAAAGTCTCCATAAAACCAAAAGAAAGTATGATGACCACCTTGAGGACACCAGATCCAAAAGGATTGACCCATCTGGAAGGTTTCTGGACAGGCCAATGCCTTCTTCCAAAGAGGATTTGGTGTGTAGCCCTCAGTCATTCAGAGGGAACTCTTACTTCAATGTGGATGAAGGTGGACAGTTATATGCTCCTCCAAGCCCAGAGACAGGAGAAGCCAAAAGAAGCGCTTTTGTAGAAGTAAAAAATTCAAGAGCAATTGAAGAGAATAATCCAAGCACAGATGGTAAAGATATATCTCCTCTCCATGCCAGCAGTCCAAGCGAAGACAAGAGGCTACATGTTAGGCCAGAAAATCGGGCAGAGGACAGCCCTACCATGGGCAGTGCCTTTACCAGTGTAGCCCAGTTGGTGAACCCCGAGCAGGAGAGAAAAAGTGCTTTTTCTCAGCCAACTAGAAGCAGCTTCAACCATGTAGCTCCTTTGCAGGTTATGGGACAAAAACTGGTGTCTAGTGGGGTAGGTTTGGATTGCCATGGAGACAGTGTTGGGCCACCAAGGCTGTTTCAGACTGACCCTCTCTCAGTCAAGATGTCAAGCCCTGAACTGAATGGCAGCTGCACACTTCCAGGAAGCTTGCCAAAGCAAAGTCCTTTCCTCTTTGCCACCACGTTTTGGCCAAAGAGCTCAGCTGGACCTCTCCAGTTGCAGATGCCTTCTACACTTACCCTATTGCCTCCTTCATTCACCTCTCTATGCCTGCCAGCTCAAAACTGGTGTGCCAAATGCAATGCTTCTTTTAGGATGACCTCAGACCTAGTGTATCACATGAGGTCCCACCACAAAAAGGAGTACGCCATGGAGCCCCTGGTGAAGAGGAGGAGAGAGGAGAAACTCAAGTGCCCCATATGCAACGAGTCCTTTAGGGAACGTCACCACCTATCCAGGCACATGACCTCTCACAACTGAACTTTTGAATAACTTTGCTACTAGAACTTTGAAAGACTCACACACAGTGACAACGCGGGGTCATGGACATATTGATCCTACCTTGAGTGTGTTGGGTTGTTTTCTTTATCTGAATGCACGCATTTTCACTTTCCAAGAGTACATTTTTTTTAAAAAAATGTCATATATATTGCAGCATATTGATGCATTTGTCTACTTTCTACTTTAAATTATGGAGCACTTATGATTTAGATGTTAATGTATTTAAGGGTTATGTTTACCTTATGGGACAGTACTTGGGTGGGACATAGTTAGCTTGCTGGCCTGTTCTCACCTGAACAATCAGTGTGGATATTACAGTGGACGTTGCAATGACCAAGGCGATGCATGACCCATATCAGACAACTGTATGGACTTCAGACAGACTGTCATCAACGTGTATTTCTTTTTGAAACAAAGTGTAATTTTGTGCCAGTTGCAACCTTATTTTTTTTTCTTTTTCCCCTATCCCTTAACGGAAAAAAAAAAGATTTTATTAAACTGTATAGTTTATCTGAGTATGTTGAATGCTTTGACAATAAATCGCTTTATTTTCTGCAAACCACTTGCTTGGTAAAATAAACCTTCATTTCTTTTGGGATAATTCCAGCAGTTGAGCTCTGCAGTCTATTTATTAAGTAAGAGCATAGACAAGGGCTGTCCATGGTGACAGTGCCCATTTTCGCTACGGGCTCTCTTGTTAACATTAGCACGTTTTCAGATATGTGATTCAACATCTGATCCCCTTGACTGTAAATCTTATGATGATGTGTCTGTTTCCATTTACATTAAGATGAACATGTAGACACAAAGGGGTTAGCATAGTGCTGACCTTGCTGCATTAATCTGTATTTTTAGATGTGGTGTTACACTGTCCTCAGCACACAATGTTTGGTCTTGTTCAGATCACACACATCAGTAAAATGAGAGAAGGCAGAGATGGGCTGTTTTGGATATTCACTTGTATCTCTCGCCTTTATATTATTAGAATGACCTTAACTAGATAAAACTGTTGGCTAGGTCTTGTGCCAGTAGTTCAATTTCTAAAATAGCATTTTTCAGATCTGCAGAAAGATCTCAACACATCATTCTCAACATGCTGAAGGACTTCATCTAAAGAAAAAGAAACTGTTGTCTTTTGGTTTAAATAGATGTGTGGTTTGATTGAAATAGAAGACAGTGTTACTAATAATTGACATTTGTTACATTTTACTAATTTTCTGCAATAGTAACATTTCTAGACTGCAGCAGGTCCCATGTATTTTACAACTGACAACTAAAAGTAAGTCCAAAAATTTTTTGATAAAGTAAAGTCCCAACATTAACCAGTAATTCATTAGATATGAATATGTATGATCTTAGAGAAACCAAACTTCTTAAAAAAACAATGTTACCAATCACAAGGCAATAAGAAAAGCTTAGCTAACAATAAAAAAACAAACAAATAAAACCACGTGTTGTACAGTGCACTATATGCTCGATGTCACTCATATTTTTCTTTATTATTATTTTCTTTTCTGCATGATATATTGTTAGAATGTTTATGCCATTTTAACATTTCAATTTAAGGACCTCCCGTATGAAATGTTATTGTGGTTTGTTTATAATGAGCAGGCTTATTCAATAAGGTAAGCTACAAAGTACTGCAGATCATGGTAAAAACACAAAATGTATCAATTTATTTGACTTCAGTGAAATGTAATGGGTTACTTCATGTTGCAGTTTTGCTTTGCTCTTTTTCCAAAATATGTTTTTATGTACTTTTGACTAAATAGGACAGGAAGCGAAAGAGAGATTGGGCAATACTTGTAATGCCATGCTTGCAATCAGAGGTGCTAGACATTTGATGAATATGTGTTGTAATGGCTATGTAAGTCACCAATACACACATCACACTAGACTAGTATAAGGCAAATTTATCAGTTTAGGCTAGCCTTAAGGGTTATGTTTTGTCTTTTAAAAACTCTTGACAAATGTATCTGCTGGTTGACATTGCTCACACATGCACTGATAATAGTGTTAACATATTGCACCGGAAAGCAATATGTATCATACATCATATATATACAATGCATTTGAGATATTAACCCTGTATGAGTTGGAAAAATAATGAGTGTGGATGAAAGCTTAATCATCATAGTCTGCAGATTCCAATTTCTGAAAACATTTCTGAAAACATTTTATTCTAGGTTCAGTCTTACAAGCACATATTTATAGATTCTAATTCTCAGCTGGTAGTTAGGCATTTTCAATAACAAGTGCCTGCCTAGTAATACTATGTTGTTGATCTTGAAAAAGGACTTTGCAGCTGGACAACAGTAACAGCAAAACCATCACTGAGCACATTAATCTTTTAAAATGATAATAAGTGGATGGGACAATCGGATATTCAGAAGGTTTAACAAATCTAATTTGCAAATATAAGTGACTGAACATTAGTAATGTATAATTTAGGTATCTTTTAGACCTTTGGGCCCATTCACGTTGGTGTCGGATCAGTCCTTATTTATAACTGTTTTCATTTTAAATGGTAGCAGATATCTTTTAGACTGTAATTGCTTTGTGCTGTAAACAAATGTATACATTTTCTGGAAAAAAAAAAAAAGATAATTTGCATAGAACCAGTTTGAAAATAATTTTGACTGATTTTTCCCATTTTCTTCAGTCACCAGTGATTACTTTTGTGTCCAGGACACTTTGATAGTCCTTTGGCATGCTGAATTTTCATTGCTTTTTCAAAAAACTTTCTGAAAAGTCTTGATGTGCAGGGCCACATTATTAAACTTTCTCCTGCATTTAACCACTTGCCCTCCAGAAGATTTACGCTCCTTTCTCACCAGACCATTTTTTTGCAATATGGATCTGCGTTAGTTTAACTGACAATTGCGCAGTCATGCAATGCTGCACCCACATGAAAATTACGTTATTTTTATCCCACAAATAGAGCTTTCTTTCTGCGGTATTTGATCACCTGTGTGCTTTTCATTTTTTACGCTATAAAGAAAAAAAGACTAACACTTCTGAGAAAAAAACAATATTTTTTAGTTTTTGCTATTAAATATGTCCAGTAAAAAATTTTAAAAATCAAATTTCATCATAAACATAGGCCAAAATGTATTCTAGTACGTCTTTGCTAAAAAAAAATCCCAATACATGTAAATTAAATGGTTTATGTGAAAGTTATAGCGTTTACAAATGGCGGTATATATACTGGTATTTTCTTTTACTAGTATAGGCTTATCAGAAACTTATAGTGGGACTGCAGTGGGCATTCTGATACTGGGGGGAACTGATTTGGTGTCAATGACATCTCCAGTGACACCAATGCAGTAATCAATGCTAATAAAAAGTGCTTACACTGTACTAATGGTACTGGGCAGGAAGGGGTTAACATGTTGGGTGATCAAAGGGTTAACTGTGTGCTGTTTTACTACGTGGACTGTGTCTGTTTTACTGTAAGCACACTGCTTTGCATTGCTCTGCTATTCAGAGCCATACCAAGCAGTGTGCATGAGCTGACAGGGTAGAGATCTGTGTTGTTTATTCACAGGTCTCTCCCGCATCAGAGATACTCGGCGATCACTGGGTGCCGGTGAGTAATCACTGGCCAGGACCCAGTGATTGACAGCTGAGGCTGCAAATGGTGGCATATATATGTGATTTTGCACACCTGTGCTGCCCTGTAGCAGTATTTCTGCTATAGGGCATCATGGAATCAGTAAAGTGGTATTAAAGCTAAATTTAAAAAAAATTAAAAATCGTCCTGCAAGGTAATAGCATAATGTTCTAGTATGCATCGCGTAATACTATAATGTTCTAGTATGCATCGCGTAATACTATAATGTTCTAGTATGCATCGCGTAATACTATAATGTGCTAGTATGCATCGTGTAATACTATAATGTTCTAGTATGCATCGCGTAATACTATAATGTTCTAGTATGCATCGCGTAATACTATAATGTTCTAGTATGCATCGCGTAATACTATAATGTGCTAGTATGCATCGCGTAATACTATAATGTTCTAGTATGCATCGCGTAATAGCATAATGTGCTAGTATGCATCGCGTAATAGCATAATGTGCTAGTATGCATCGCGTAATACTATAATGTGCTAGTATGCATCGCGTAATACTATAATGTGCTAGTATGCATCGCATACTGGCACATAATGAAATACCTATCTTAGAATGAAGCCTTCAGCGGTGCACTGTCACCACCGACAGGGCTTCCATCTTCACATGGTCTTCCTCCTGGGTTTGTGGGCTGTGGTAGTTTGAATGGCCAAGCCGTGATGGGGTCACTCTTGCACATATGCACTGGAGTCACAACCACGGCACAGAGCTCTGAAAAGACTGCATGAGTATGCCGTCCTTTTAAAGCACATGCACCAGGCTGCAGAAAGAGTGAATATCGCCTAAACGGTGCACACTTAAGAGATATTCCATGTGGTACAAGTGTACTAGCAATGTTTACTACCAATTTAAAAAGGGGAAAAATGCATGAGGATTGGAGAATTTTCACTCAACACATCGTGTGAATATTCACTTCAATTATCCAATCATATAAAATACAAACATTTAAACAAGAAATTGCTTGTCGCCTGATTGAACTGAAGTAATGGTAAAAAAATGTAGTAAGTAAGGATTCTCAATTCCATCTGTAAATTAGCCTCAATGTATTGTAAAAAAGCCTTGTGTGCTGTATTTTGTCTTGCGTGGTCCCATTCAACATCCAGAACACAAAGCAATACAAATGAAAACATACCACAATAATATATGTGCTACTGTGACATAAAGCCCTAAAATTACAAATGGTCATGAGTTTATAATGGTCTAATGCAGTGTTTTTAGAGCAGTAAAAACCTACTCTGTTTCTTCCTCTTATGTGCCGTTGTGGCTAAGACAATATTTCAGCTCCTCATGCTTGGTTGGGCCAAATTTTCTGTTAATGGAGCTCTCTGACCTCAGATACGCCAGA